GATCATAGATATGAACACCATGATGATGTGGTCCTGGATTTGGTCGCAGTTTTCTTTATCTGTCGAGCTGGCATCGTTTTCGCAGATTAGTCGGAGCGACAGGGAGATTATGGTACACGCCTGTATCCCTGTGGATTCGGCTATGTGGCGAAAACGAGGTCAAACAAACACTAGTATTTGATATTTTGTCCTTTCTTAAGGAGATTACTTACGATGTGAAATATATCTTTTGTGAATAACCCTGAACTCATCGTAAACTCGAGCTTAAGCTAAAATTTTTTTTTTACCTTTCAATAGCCAAATGGAAGATTTGAAGCCCATAGAAAAATCTGTTTAAGCATATCTGGTCACCATCCGGAGTCCTGGCGACCTTCATGGTCCATCCGAACTGCTCTCCTGGCAATTATTGGCTTCATGCCATCTCATGGGAAGGGTGCAATCGGAGCTCTTGATCTCCCCAGGGAGGAGCGGCAAAATCTTGCTCTAAAGTACGCTCATTTTAGAATTTAAAACCTGAATTTCATGAATATGTTTATAATAGGCTTGATTTTTGATGTCTTAAAAATTTAAAAATGTAAATCAACCTGGCATTAAGTATTCGACGGCATTGTGCTCATCATTTATTCTCACTATATAGACAAAAAAGTTATGCCTATGATTTATTCCTTTTATTTTCATATGCTATTCTTATATCAATCATTATAGTATGGAATCACGTGCTAGCTAGGAATAAATTACACCATGTATCATACTATTTAGCTTCAAATCAACCACGTTTTCACAGCTTTTATTTATAGGCCTATATCTTCATATTATTGCTTTATCCTACGTAAAAGCTTTTTTAAGCCTATCAAATCTTGGTAATGTGGATATATCTACTTGGCTGGCCTCATTCAGAGAGGTATGAGAGGATATATTTTCCTATCTGTGAGCCTGACTGAATTATAAGCCATTATTAAAATGCATAGAAGATAGGTAAGCTTCATATATTTCCACCCTAATATCTACTGTAAAAGGAACTTTGCCTTTAGAAATTTTATGTATAATAAAAAAACGCGGAAAACGCTTTCATATGACATAATTTCGCGTCATCACAAACATTTTATTTATTAAAATATTCATAAAAGCAAATATTATGTATCTAGATCTTACTATTTCTTTTAAAATAAAATAATTTAACTAACTAAGGCTGCACGTTTTTTACTTAAAACGAAGCCAACTTCTCTATAATAGAAGCTTTAGCCAATAGGCTACGCAATTCTTTGATATTCATTTAGATTCTACATCATTTTGGCTCGTATGTATTAGGGCTAAGAATACATTATGACCTCCGGCTTCCTTTATCTATTCATTTTTTATACTTTTACCCATCCATCTCTGGCCACAATTTGGATAGACACAATAGCTTTAACAAGTTGATGTTATACCATTAAATATATAATGTTATCTTGTATCTATCTCTTATTTTTGGCGAATAAAAACCTAGATTCTAAGAATTACGATTATGAGAATCTTTATTATGGAAATTGTAACCGTATGAACTTGTAGCATACATTCGCTGATGCTCGGCTGTTTTTAAGACTAAAGATTTATTATAAGGAACATATTCTCTAATATGGATTTAAGATTTGATAGTTAAGTCTCATATTATAATGAATTAAAGGCCTCATGGTTTCGTTAGACCTCACTTAGCCCTTGCTCTCCCAAAGGCTTTCTTGTCCATATTGTACAGCATTTCCAATTTCTCTCATGTCTCATCAGCAATTTGAGATTTAAGATCGAGTCATGTACGTAATGGATCCTGGTTTAAAGATTAGTTAAGCTTCTCAGAAATCACATTTGATGTGATAGTTATGCCGATAAATTAACTTTTTATTTGCCATTATGTTTCTACTACATACTGACTGGTTTGATTTTGAACTATGGTAAATTATTGTCCTATTTGGTTCTTGTAATTCAAATTGTGCTACCATCGAAACATTATTTAGATAACTTTATCTAGAGTAAGGAAAATTTACATGCATAAAGTATTTACTGGACTTATGAGGACCAAATATCGCCAGGAGACAGGAAACACTTCATTTACACGTTTCTGAAACGCAGGGTTTTCTCCCATAACTTTTGTATTGGTGCCCTTACTTTGAATTCATATAAACATGGTGTATGATAGGCTTTTATGATAGATTACCTTAAGCATTAATTGTACTAAATTTTCATTTATTTTCTACGAGCCCCGTGCATGAAGTTATTTCATTAACCTGCATGCTTTAGATTGGCTTTTAAAAACTAGAATAATTAAAATATTATATGGAAACTTCGTCCCTGAATTTTAATTTTATGTTACGACTTAATGTTTTTTTTAGCAAGCAGTTACTAAAACTTATGCTCTGCTTATCTTTATGCAAAATACCCTCTCTAATAATGCACTTTATGTCTTATAAGGAAATCAATTGATAATTTTTATATACCTATATTTTTCTAGTTCTGTCAACTTTGATTGCCCACAATGTGGGAAAATTAAAGACTTACTTCTTCCACTTACCCAAGCGTCAAGTGCTGTTAGTCGAGAGGCTCGAGAAACGATAAAAGAAATTTCACTCCACGTGAGTTAGGTCAATCAATTTCTGGCCTTTTACATTCTTTTCTCATTTAATATCTTTTTTCATTTTACCTTCAACGTCTGTGTGGCGTGTGTCTTACCTGCTAATCTTTTATGTGCTTTTTATCGGTAATTCTGACCTCACCACTTTAATTTTTCACACAACAATGACTTCCGGCTTGCCTTAACTATTCATTTTTCATACTTTTAACTATCAATCTCTTCCCATACTTTCGCTAGGCACAACAGCTTTTCCAAATTGATGTTAAGTCACGAAATATATGATGAAATATTGTATCTAGCTTTTTTGGCAAATAACCTAGATTCTAAGGATTACGGTTACAAGAAACTTTATTGTGGAAATTGTGACATTTTGAACTTGTTGGTAGCATTGATTCATTGATACTCGGCTACATATATTTAATGGACACTTTTTTAGACTGAAGGTTTCTTACAAGGAACTTATTCTCTAAGAGAGATGTAAAGTCTGATAGCTGAATCTCAGATACAATGAATTGATGGCCTCATTATTTCGTTGAATTTCACTTAGCCTTGCCCTTCAAAAAGTTTTCTTATCCAGCATATGCAGCATTCACGAATCGTAAGACTGTTTAATTATGAGAGCTGAATTATCGAATTGCGTTTGGCGCTGTATTTCAACTAGGTCAGTCTATTATAAAGTTCATATTAAGTTTCATTGCATATTTTAATTGAGTTAATTCTTCTAACTTGCATGAAAGTTTGGAATGAACCACGATTAGCTTAGCCATGCCACTAGCTCCGTTTTTATAATGCTCGATATCAATGCTAAAGTGTTTATATTAATGTTAGGCCCTAATCAACTATATCTGCTATGAATTATAACTTTACTTAATTAATATCCTTCGTAGGGCACTTATAAGATTCTTTGCTGCCTATATTTCTACTCAATTTCGAAAATTGTCAACGTCTATTTATTAAACTAGAGGATTTAACAGGAGAGTATAAAGCCGAATCAATCAAACCCACTTGAAACTATTTATATTCCGAATTTGTAGGTTTTTGAGACTCAGTAGATTGCAATCTGTCTTGTCCAGAAGATATTGCTTTATACTTAAGCAAAATGCACTTAAGAGAGGTCCCTTTAGATATTTGCCACACTATGGAGAAAATCTCGACAGATTCTTTCGGGTCCGAGGACAATTTACAAAGGACTGCTATGATTACAATGACGATCATTGGCTTACACCAGGGACAATTATCTATTATTCTTTGATGAGCCTAATCTATGAATATCTTATAATACTTTCTTGCTAAGAAATTTTGATACTCTAAATAATCCATTGGTGGTATTTTGTTTTTCGGCTTGAATTCTGTATGGAGTACTGTTGAGACCTAGACTTGAGATCGAATATATTTGGATTGAAGGCGTAAATAATGGAGCCTTTTGCTTCATTTTTGGTTGATTTACTATTATTACTTTATATAAAAATTAAGTTTTTCCTCGCTAAAATAGGATTTGTTAATTGTTTTCCCATGAAATTAGCAATATTTCTTTTTTAAACAGCTAATAAGTTTTATCTTTTTCAACCTTCGCTTATTCTTTGATGTTTTTTGACTCTGCACTTGTAGGATCCCGTAAATTTCATCGAATTAATAATACTTCTGATTCTCTTTTTAATGCAGTTTATAATTAAAATTTTCATATAGGCTTATGTTGATTATATTTTTGAACGTTCTCTTTTAATAGTTACAATTTATTTTTCTTCCTATGATTTGTATGCTGGTGATTAAGCTGATCGAATCAGAGTTTTTTTCAACTTATTATTTTCAACTTTTTAACTACATATTGATGGCTTTACTTAGACCTCTAGCGTCCTCTTGGTTATAGGCCGGCGACATATCCTTGGCTGATGACGTTTGTCGTACAAAATCATCACCTGAATCATCCTCGAGTTCAGGTTCCTTGTCTGCTCCTTCCTCCGATCATACCTCTTCCACCGGTTCCGCTGTAGTCTCCAATGCTCCGAGTGAAATCATCACATCTTCCTCATCTATCATTAGCTCTACAATTGAAAATCTCTCACCAACCACACCAGCCCCTCCCCTTCACTCAATGTTGACCTTTGCTCGCTCGCCTATTACCGCCGTAAGTTTGTGATATGACTGACGGAACATTTAAGTTTCATTTAATCGAATTTGACCGCATTCTTGCTGGAATACCGATTAGGTAGCTAAAAAAGATCTTAAATATATCTGTTCATGTGCGTCTCTCAATGATCATTTATATTGCATGAACTATCTCGCGATAATAGCACTGAGATGTTTCGAGAAATCTTTGCCAATGCATAATGTCAATATGATTTAAACAATTTTTCTATTTACGCATTTCATCAGGCTTCATGGGTTAAAACAAAGCAAACAATTAGACTCGCTTATCTCCTTGTTTTTCACATTCAGAATTTTATATGGCCATTTGTAAGTTAACTTGGCGATAGGGCTTTCCATCAGTAATGAAGTCTGCTTTTTGTCACAAAATGGTATTTTACATGAGGGTGGTATAGCTGGTCTAATTTTGCAACTGGTTCACACGAAATAACAGAATCTGAGGTTGAGTAATTGGTTGATATTTTTATCTCTTGAAGATAATCGGTTCGCAGGCTGAGTTCTATTGCTCCTAATTTTATGAATGCTTAACACTGTAGGGCTCTAACCTTTTTTGTATAGGTATACATTAAAAAATGTATTTTAATTTGTCGGCATGCTTATATGAAAGAAACTTTCTTAAAAAAGCACACATTCCTTATCCATTCTATTATTCTTGGCCAAGTATTATGTCAATTTTATCATCTAAAACAAAATAACTCGATTAATATTGGTATTCTTTAAAGATTATACAAGACTTTCCAGTTTCTATTTTTTTGATCTGGGTAAAATGCGCTATTATTTTTTATTTATTTGATTGAAACGCTTCTTGTCCTTATTTACTCCATTATATGCATTCAATGCATTGTGGCCATTTTCTTCAATTTACAACTGGTTCTGTACTTTTGCTGTTTTCACATTACACTTCACGGATCCGGGCAATAAAATAGCGGAAGCCTTGTTTGGGATACTTGCCAAGGTGTACCAATTCACCTAATTCACTCAGAAACTATATATGTTAAACCATATATCCTTGATGCTCTTAACCATCAGTTAAGGCAAGAAGCCCTGGGAGCACCCACCAGTCTGTTTATATAGGCCTAAAGCTATATGGACCTCCTATATTGTATGAATAAAGTCGTTTTTTTGCTTACAATGTAAGTTTGTCACGGCATCTTTAAAGAACTTCCAAGCTTTATCCGAACTATTTTTTTATGAGTACATGTGAAATAAAGCTTCCCTAAATTTTAGCTTTTGTCTTTATCCCCTCTTTCTTAATTTTTATTTACTTCATTTTATATTTTTCTTTTTTCTATCTGATATATTGTAGTCCTCGACCTTACCAGAAAGCCGATTGACAAGTCCTCCAATATCCTTCCTTTCTCCTAGTCCCTTTGCTTTTGAGAATCAGGTCGCTCAAGTTGGAACTAGGATTGACGGTGTCTGGTCTCAATCCGTAAATGGATTACCTTCAATATGGCTTTGCTATCCTATCTATAACAGTGGCCCAGTAAGTACCTGCATCATAGTTGCTTCGGTACCCTCAATTTCATTCTTCTAAAGCTTTGCAGGTTTTTTTTATTCATATAAGCTTTGTAATGTGGGTACATCAACCGGGTGCTCTTTTTACTTGACTCCAATTTTCAAATATAATGCTTGTTAGAAAATTAGCTACAGCAAATGTGATTGTATACCTTAACGTGCGTACTATCAGATCCCGAAAAGCCGAACTAGATACGACTTCTCTGCTTTCTATATAAATGCATTTATTTTGTTATCTTCGTTTCCTTTATCCTAAGTTCCTGTGGTAAAAGATATCATCAGCCTTTAGGGCAAATTGTTTTTTATCGTCAAAAATATGCTTGGAACTTTTTAACTCTATTAAATAGTACTGCATAAACGTATTTACTAAGTGTGGGATTTCTTGATAAACCACTAAATTTGGCATGATATCAGCTGTTAAATATGTTGATTATATAGGTTGATTCAATGATATAGTTTTGCTAAGTTTTTGGAAATCTAGGAAATATAATAAGAATTAGATATTTTTGATCGCACAGGCGAATATTAACTTGCACATCGCTCCTGCTACCTTAGACCCAGAGTGTAATACTGATGCGAATTTTCATTTAATTCCTCAGCGATATGAAAGACCTTAGGCGCAAGTTGTAAGCAAAATTTTATTTTGGGAAGTAAGGTTATGCTAAATTCAATGAAAACACGAGGCCTGATCTTATCATTGTGGCGAAATTCAATTCTCGGTTCTTAATCGCTTTAGATTAAATACATCGAATGAGTTAGACCTTTTTGGCCTGACGAAAGCTCCTTCATTTTCGGCTTTGAGCTTCGATTTATAATTACCTTTATTCTCTCTTGAGAACTAGAGCACAATATTCTTGTGTTCGATTAGTATATTAGAGATTGAGATTTCCAAACGGTAGAGTCACTAACCCGATTTACACTCGCAACTCATTTATTACTTCCAATGCCGAAAAGGTGAAATATTTCCAGAATGTTAATTCAATTTTACGTTCGAACTAGGCGAAATTAAAGATCGTCATCTAATTCAATCAGCTCAAAATAGCGTCTTCTTGCGACATAATACTGACTTATCATCCAGTAAATGTAGTTAGGAGTAAGCGATAAAAACTGTTATGTTTATAGTACTGAGATTTTTTCTTATATAATTTTTATTTAAATGGCCATTTAAATCTATATTTACCTCCTTCCTACTGCTTTAGTTAATCCCCTTCATGCCTCCACCTCACCAAGTCCAAGCTTCCACAACGCTTCCACTTTCTTCTCAGCAGCCCCGCACGTCATCTCAAACTTCTTCAGAGCTCAATGCTTCTTCTCTACAACAACCATTGAGCTTCCTCGACTGGCTCACCCAGGTATTCTTTAACTCCATCCTTTTCCACTTGCTAGGCCTAGTTAAGTCTTAAGCATACCAGGTATATTTAATAAGAGCCTTTGCTAAGCACATTGGCATCTTCATTGACGCATACCTTTTAGAGCACGTCCTAACTTGCTTCGAGTGAAAGGGTCTGTCAGAATCTCTTGTGTTTTTAAGACAATCAAGGGAACTTCAGGTTTGGTATGATAACTCATATTGGAATGCTTTGTCCTGGCTAGCAACATCCTGGAAGCCAAGGAAGTGTTTGTCTTCGTGCTTGCGGATTTTAGAGAAGCAGCGCTTTAGTACTTTAAGCAGAAGGAAAAATGTTTTTTATTTTCCAGCTATTCTCAATAACTTTGTGGGCAAATCTCCTTGTCGGATTATCTGAGACTCGAACAGGTGCTAGGATCTTAACTTCAAGCTTTTGACACTCAAGATTTCCTGGGGCGTGATGCTATGTACTAGATGATGCAATACTAGATACATGCATGACCGACTTTCAAGTAACAACAATGTGTGTATAGTAAGGTGGATCTTTTACTTGAGTTACTACATTTTCATCGAGAATATGCAAGGTTGAGGGCGACTTAAAATCGTCTAAGTAAATCGTTTAAGAGATAGGATGTATGGTAGGAAGATCTTAGCACGGTCACAAGCCAGGTAAGGCAGGACTATTGCTATTCGGAACAAGGTAAAGAGATCAGGCCAACATATTTATTAGTTCGAAGAGCCTAAATGAAATAAGAATCTTGCCAAAAATTTCAAAATTTTAAATACAAATGAGAAGCCTTTCGCTGAAAGACACCCAATTTCCAGTGTCGTATTTCTCCAATTCAGCTTAAGGATGATCGATTAAATTGTCCGTGTACCTATTTTTTTCTTCAACATCGAACCGTGGACTTGGTAAATTTCAAGAAGTTCCGTCATTCGTAGTCGGTGTCCTCAGTCAGTCTTGTCATTCTCTTCATCAAGCTTACTACTCTCCAAAGAGACAAGTGAAATCCACGACCAATTTTCTGCAGAAAAGTTGTTTTATAACTTTTTTCCTGGCACATTTAAATACCCCTTATCCTCGCCTCATGCTCTCTGCGAGTTTGATGAGGCGCTATCGCACCTATTGCCCCCCTACCTACCCCGTCCTCCGAGATACTTTTCTTATCTTAATGGTTGACAGACTTCATTCGGTCCAAGTTACAGTACCCGTTTTGCTCAAAGTGCTACTTCTTATGGCCTGCCACAGACCCTTGATAGCATGTGAAACCGTTGAAACCGAGTAGGTCATATAGATTATGATTCTCAACCTTGCAGATATCCGTCTAGCGCTATGGGTCAACTGTGCTTCTTCTTATTTTATCTCGTCACATTTTCTGGATTAATCTTATGATCTGGTATTGCATTCATGAGTTATTTATGATTCAACTAATGTACTGGGAGTCTATATCTTTGGTATCAGCTGCATTTTGGATGGGTATCTTTTAGGATTTGGTTCATCTACTATCCATAATGGCAAATTCTTATGACGGTTGTGACTATCGGTCTCCATATTCTCTTAGGCGCCAGGTCTCCAAATATTATAGCTATTTCTTCGAGCCAATTACACTCACCGAAAACGTCTTTTGATTTCTTAATGTTCTGCTTTTTCCTTGCGATCCTTTCTCCTTTGATCAACGATATGTCCTTGATCCATGCATCTCCTTTCTGCTGATCTTTCCATTTCCCACTTTTCTCTGAGCTTGCTTAAGCGATAAGAAAAGTTTTTTAAATCTCCTTCGCAGAGGAAATCGATGGCTTCTCTAGCCTTCTTTTCCCCTGCATTTTCTATACTGAGGCCTTTCTCTTGTCCAATCTGCAATGTTTTTCCCTATTTCTTGTCCCTGTATCCATTTTTCTGCAGAGCCTTTGACATTCCGTAATTTATATGCTGATATTTTTGCTTGTTTTACCAATATACTTATACCTCAGTCGCCGCATGTTATGCAATTAACTCTGGAGCAATCCAATTTGCTACCTTC